ATTTGGTGCAGAAGCTGTCAAGGTGTTAGCGAGATTCGCCTCGAATGCGTCGTGATGTGCAAAGTGCAGCAAGCAGAGTGCTGTTGTTTTGCCAGGTGGTGAGCAAAGGTGGTAAAATCCAGCTGTATCTGAAGAGCGCAACTGGCTATCTTGATCGCTCGGAGACGATTCCGCCTTGCATGGGCGCAGGGATCTCCGACTGCGTGGAGGGAGGCTTCGCAGCAGCCTACTTCCAGGCTCCGTAAGGGTCAACGACCGCCAACCCACCAACCACCCCTCTACATTGCGCTCCCTCTTGGGTTTTCCCCAACTACACAGGCTCAGATTCTAAACCCTAAGCCCTAAGCCCTAAGCCCTAAGCCCTAAACCCTAAACCCTAACCCCTAATAGCACGGCCGAACGACCATGTCCAACAGAGCCTGATTACTGCTTTCTTGGTCTTGAGGTCCCTGAGAACAGCCATCTCACGGTCCAGTTGAAGGTGGGGGTTTTGGGTTTTGGGTTTTGGGTTTAGGGTTTAGGGTTCAGGATACCGCCTATTTCTGGGGTTTCCGAAATTAGGGGTACCTTATTGGGTCCTTATTTTAAGGGAATCCTATTTGGGACTCTAATCGGCGCCCCCTTAGTTTCGTACACCCCCAGGTGTCCCTGGCCGGCGAAGATGACATCTCCCACGACTGGGACATCGAAACGGCAGATGCTGGGTCCGGTGATGCTCAGGCGAGAATCCTCTTCCTCAGCCAGAACCACACGGAATATGAGAAGAAGTGGCTGCCCCTCGGTGTACGAACACCTAGCTAGGCCCTTGGGATCATCTTTGTTATTGGCCCCTCATGGGGTTTAGGAGGAGTATGCTTAGGAATTTTCAGAGGGTTTTAAGGGCCAGCCTAAACACCCATTCGATTTATGCTAGCGCCCTGCTCGCTGCGCTGCAGCCTGATACTTGGGTAGTTCTCTAAAATAGGGTCCCTTTCGGGGGAGGGGTTAGGGGTTTAGGGTTTAGGGTTTAGGGTTGAGGTTTTAGGGTTTAGGGTTTAGGGTCCTTCTTATCAAGGGCGCCGTACTAAATCGGGAACTTGAAAAAGGGACTCAAATCTAGAGAACTACCCCGACTTTCACACGCAGGTCAAGCGAGATGGGTCGCCGGCAGTTTGCCTACGCGAATGAGCAGGAGAAGTTTTCGGCCAAGGAGCTCACTATTTTTGATCTCGACTCATCTGCCTTCAAACCAGACCTGGAGAGAAATGGCCACTTGTCCATGACTGGCTGGTTCTTCGGAGGGAGCGAGGTACCCTAGAGAATCCCTCAAAAGGGTATTTCTAGGGCCCTATTTCCATAATCCCTCAAAGGGTATGTAAAGGGCCCTCATTCCCTCATTCCCTACTAAGAACAAACTTGTAGTTTCTGGTTCAAAAGGTCCCCAAAACCCTTAATCCCCTTTAAAAAAAGATATCCCTAAACCCTAAACCCTAAACCCTAAACCCTAAACCCTTAGACCCCTTAACAGGATATCCCCCTTTCCTGGCCTTTCCGCAGGCTTCGAAATGGATAGCTCTGGGATTCTCAAGGCCGCGCTCGATGACCTCATGCTCCCCGGCACTGTAGGGTTTAGGGTTTAGGGTTTAGGGTTTAGGGTTTAGGGTTTAGTGTTGTTGACATATGGTGTCAAGCATGTAGTTTCTTTGGGCCCGAATCCTTGAATACCCCTAGACCACCCTTTCAAAAGTCTATTTTCAGAACCCCCCCCCCCCCAAGAAAATCCCTCGAAGAAAAGGCAAAGGCGGCTTTCGGGTCTCTCTCGTGGGCTTCTGTGGCGTTTTTGCGGGGCAAGTTTTTGTGTCGGCTTAGTTTGTTCTTGGCCTAGTTGGGATGATGGATTGGGGTAGCCCACACCCAAAACTCTGGAACTTCAGCCCCAAACCCTAAACCCTAACCCCAAAAGAGCCCCAAACCCCAAGACTCTGGAACTTCATGGGCCCTGCTAAGCCATCTGGCCATGATAGGGTTCTTAAGCGGGGGGGCTTTTCAAGGCCCAAACCCTAAACCCTAAACCCTAAACCCTAAACCCTAAACACTAAACCCTAAACCCTAAACCCTGGACCCTACAAGACCACTACTAAGGTTCAACATGGAGCGGGAGGACGTGCAGCAAGACTTTACAACAACCGTTGCTTCTTGCGTCGTAAGTTGGTACTGGCCTTTTAGCTTTTGCATTCGCACCTTGGGCTTGGGTTTAGGGTTTAGGGTTTAGGTTTTAGGTTTTAGGGTTAAGGGTTTAGGGTTTATATAGGGTTTAGGGTTTAGGGCTTAGGGCTTGGGGTTTAGGGTTTAGGGTTTAGGGTTTAGGGTTTAGGGTTTAGGGTTTAGGGTTTAGGGTTTAGGGTTTAGGGTTTAGGGTTTAGGGTTTAGGGTTTAGGGTTTAGGGCGCTGTTGTTTTTGGATTCTTTAGGGAGGGAGGTTCAAGGGGGGGTAGGTACCTTCGGGAACCTTAGGGAGGCTTAAGGAGCCTTAGCTCAGGGAGCGGTGGGAGTATTCGGGAACCTTGGATTACATACCCCCCTTGAAACCCCCCTCCCTTAAGAACCCCAAACCCTAAACCTCAAACCCCAAACCCCAAACCCCAAACCCTAAACCCTAAACCCTAAACCCTAAACCCTAAACCCTAAACCCTAAACCCGAAGATATTCAGGCCCTGCCCTGCCAGGTGATCACTTCGAACGAGAGTTGCTACATCAACTCGACAGAGGATCTCCTGAATATTTCCCAGCACCTTGACGGTGACACTGGGTTGCATGTCCAGAACGGGTTTAGGGTTTAGGGTTTAGGGTTTAGGGTTTAGGGTTTAGGGTTTAGGGTTTAGGGTTTAGGGTTTAGGGTTTAGGGTTTTCTTGTAAGTCTCTATAATGTCGAAAGGCCAAACAGCTCTGGATATGTTGCCTTCCCTAAATCCTAAGCGCTAAACACGAAACCCAAAACCCTAAACCCTAAGCCCTAAGCCCTAAGCCCTAAGCCCTAAGCCCTAAACCCTAAACCCTAAACCCTAAGCCCTAAACGGCAGGACAACTTGACGGCAGGCAGCTGCAACAAGAACATCTTCTACGACTACAAATCAGATTCTTGGTAGCCCCTTGGTACCCTTTTACTTTTTTGGGGTTTAGGGTTTAAGGTTTAGGGTTTAAGGTTTAGGGTTTAGGGTTGAGGGTTCAAGGTTCCCTTACAAGAGGACCTAAACCTCAAAAACCCTATACCCTGAACCCGAATATCAGGCTCCATATGTGATGGTTGTCAAAATTAAAGTCCCTTTTTGGGTCCCCATTATAATACGGCACCTAATATTTAGGGTACCCAAAAAGGGACCATGATTTTGACAACCACCCATATGTGATGACTGGGCTACCAAGGATTACCTAAACCTTAAAGCCCTATACCCTGAACCCGAAACCCTAAACCCTAAACCCTAAACCCTAAACCCTAAACCCTAAACCCTAAACCCTAAACCCTAAACCCTAAACTGTGATTACTGGGCTACCAAGGATTACTTTAACCCCAAGTTTGGAGGTGGCGAGCGGTTCCTCGGCGTGTACAAGTGCGCCCTGGCCGAAAGATGAGGGCCTTTGCCTGCACCTCGAAGTGGGTACGGCAACGTGCAAGACTTGATGGGGTTTAGGGTTTAGGGTTTAGGGTTTAGGGTTTAGGGTTTAGGGTTTAGGGTTTAGGGTTTAGGGTTTGGGGTTTAGGGTTTAGGGTTTGGGGTTTAGGATCCCTCCCCAACAATTCCGACGTGTTTAGGATTTCCAGGGCTTTAGCATATCCATGCTTATAGGCACGCCGCGCAACCAGCAACGAAAAGCGATAGAATTGCGCGCGTGGGGTTTTTGTTCAGCAGGTCCATCTACCCATACATGCAGATGCATGTAAACATGAAGAATCCCACCGGAAATGAAACCTTAGTTAAACCTTTACTTCGCGTAGCCGACGTTGCTGGGGTGTTATGTACGATAGTTTAGGGAGATGGGCATTTGCGAAAATGGGGGGGGGGGGTAATCGGAATAGTGGCTACTAATATTCCCTTATGGTCCCTTTGTAAGTATACTACAATAACCCCCAAATCCCTATTCTACTCATTCAGGCCCCTCTTAATATACCCCGAAATGCTATAATCCTTCTGAAGGAACCCCATCAAAAGGGTACCCCTGTTTGTTCCGAATCCCACCCATATTGGAGGGGTTGGTGGATCTGGAGCCTAAACCCTAAACCCTAAACCCTAAAAACCCTAAACCCTAAACCCTACACCCTAAACCCTAAACCTCAAACCCTAAACCCTGTAAACCCTAAGGTGATGCGAATTTTTCTGCTCCTCGGCTAGACTCGGCGTGCGTTTAGAGATCTGCCAGGTTAGGGAAGCCGGACTCACAGCACTCTTGTTGCAGCTGGTTTTAGGGCTTTAGGGCTTTGGGGTTTAGGGCTTAGGTTTAGGGTTGAGGGTTGAGGGTTGAGGGTTTAGGGTTTAGGGTTTAGGGATGCTTCTCATGAGATTGCATAGTGGACTTTGCGCAGGAGGTGCTTGTGACTCTGCTTGGCTGTCGCTGGGCACTGCGCTCAAAATTAGTGTGGCCAGGACTGCGCGCGTGGTAGGAAAACAAGACCTTGTTAAGCACGATGCCAAGTCTAGCTCTCTAGCACAGCTGATCCACGCGATAAATTCTCGATCTATAGTATGCCGCTGCACCACAAGACTTCTGAATGTGAGCCCTTCATTCAACACTAGCCCGGCGCAAGCTCCGTCAACAAAATCGCCAGTTTCGATGGTGCGTCGGAACACTTGGCGTTGAGTGAACTGCTCTCTCTCTCTCTCTTGGCCACACTTGACCACATTAAAATTTGATAGAACAAAATACTGACTATTGATAGTCTAATCATGTAATGCTATCAGTCAGAGAGTGATATAACTATCAAAAGGTGCCATGGGCTCTGTGTAACCCCCCGCTCAAAATCTACTATTTGCTGAAGAACCCCCCCCCCCCCCCCGTCCCGCCCCCCCGCCCCCCCCCCCCCCCCCGCCCCCCCCCTCCGCCCCCCCGCCCCTCCGCCCCCTCCACCCCCTTATGCTGGGCAATTCTGAACCAAACTCTCAGCCTTAAACCCTCAACCCTCAACCCTGCTCTAGACCCTAAACCACCCAAACCTAAACCCTAAACCCTAAACCCTAAACCCTAAACCCTAAACCCTACACCCTCAACCCTAAACCCTAATCAACCCTAAACCCTAAACCCTAAACCCTAAACCCTAAACCCTAAACCCTAAACCCTAAACCCTACACCCTACACCCTAAACCCGAAACCCTAAACCGATGAAACCGGGGAAACGAAATTCAATGAAACCTACACCCACAGAGTCGCCAAGGCGTCAGAGATAAACTGCAGCGACGAGCCTGTCAACCTCTCCACCGACCTCCTGCCTCCTCTCATGATCAAGTACCAATCGTGGCACGCCGGCACTCGCCCTAAACCCAAAACCCTAAACCCGAAACCCCAAACCCTACTTCCCAAGCCCTGAACCCTAAACCCTAAACCCTCAACCCTAAACCCTAAACCCTCAACCCTAAACCCTAAACCCTAAACCCCACAAACCCTGAACACTGCACACCAGCCAAGTTGGGAAAGGGTCGAAGCCCAGGGCGCCCCGTACCCGTGACACGAACACTTCGCGGGCGGCCGCCATGCACACAGGTTGGGGTGTTCGGGAGTTTCGAGTTTAGAGCTCGGATTTAGGGGTTAGGGTTCAGGGTTTAGGGTTTAGGGTTTAGGGTTGAGGGTGTAGGGCTCAGGGTCCGAAGGTTCGGGGTTTCCACTAGCGCTTCCGGGCCCGAAAACCACTTTGATTCATCTGGTCTCTTCTGGACTTTTCGAGGCTTGCATGCCTAGCACTACTATTTGCTTAAGAACCCCAAGAACTGAGAGAAAAACAATCCCTGTAATCAAGGAAGAAGATTTTTTATTTTTGGGGGGTTCTGAAGCAAATAGTTGTTTTGGGATGATGGAGTTTACAAAGGAAGCTTTGCAAGGTTAGCCGCCTCTCAGTTTTGCTGGGCCCTGTTTGGCGGTATTCAAAGCTGTCGCGAACTCCCTTAGGGTTTAGGGTCGCTTTGGGTTTAGGGTTTAGGGTGTGGCAACGTTCTTAGCGCGCGCCGTGGGCCCTATGGATTAGCTTTCACCGGCCCACTCCCACGCGCGCGCGCGCGTCGCGTGGCGGTGGGTGTGGGTGGGTGTGGGTGGGTGTGGGTGGGTGTGGGTGGGTGTGGGTGGGTGTGGGTGGGTGTGGGTGGGTGTGGGTGGGTGTGGGTGGGTGTGGGTGGGTGTGGGTGGGTGTGGGTGGGTGTGGGTGGGTGTGGGTGGGTGTGGGTGGGTGTGGGTGGGTGGGGGTGGGTGGGGGTGGGTGGGGGTGGGTGGGGGTGGGTGGAGGTGGGTGGGGGTGGGTGGGGGTGGGTGGGGGTGGGTGGGGGTGGGTGGGGGTGGGTGGGGGTGGGTGGGGGTGGGTGTGTGTGTGTGTGTGTGTGTGTGTGTGTGTGTGTGTGTGTGTGTGTTTGGGCGCGTTTTTTTTGCTGCGGGCGAGGGCGCGCTAGTTTTCTGCTACGAGTGCGGGGGCGCGTTTTTTTGCTTTGTTGCGGGTGCGGTGGGGGCGTTTGTTTTTTTTTTGGCTTGCCCGGCTTAAACGGAGCACAGCCTCCCCCGCGCGCCCGCCCAACACCCCCCATTTGCAAAGACAATGCTCGCATCATCATGGGTTTGGAAGGGATTCGTATGATTGAAGCAAGCTTGCTCGGCTTAAAAACGCCGGCCCCAAGCATTTGCAAACACAATGCTCGCATCATGGGACTCGTGATGATTCGTGTGCTTCGAAGCAAACTTGCCCGGCTTAAAGAAAGCGTGGGGTTGGGGGCGGGCGCAGCCCCCCATTTGCAAACACAATGCTCGCATCATGGGTCTGGAAGAGATTCGTATACTTTGAAGCAAGCTTGCCCGTTTTTAAGAAGGCAAAACAAAAACAAAAGTAAGATCCTTGGAAGTGCACCTGCTTTCTCGTAAGGACTCGTCCCCAAGATTCCACGTGCAAATACGCTTGTGGGAGTATTTTCGTTTTTTTAAGCAAGAACCCGAACGACCGGAGTATGCCCAACACCCTACCAATCCCACCCCGCTTGGCTTAGGAACCCCAAGCCGCCCAAGCCCTGAACCCTCGTCCCTGAATCCCTACACTTGGGATGTTCCCCCTTACAACAACAGTCCTTGCTGGGGATTACAGTACCCCCCCTATCAGAACCCCTACCCACTCTGTGAAACCCTCGGCCATGAACCCTAAACCCTAAACCCTAAACCCTAAACCCTAAACCCTAAACCCTAAACCCTAAACCCTAAACCCTAAACCCTAAACCCTAAACCCTAAACCCTAAACCTAAACCCTAAACCCCCAACCCTAGTCCTTAAATCCCTGAACCCCCGAGAAGCTCTTGTCAGCCCACTCTGTACAGGGGCCGCCCTGGCATTGATGGCGGAAGAGCAGCGGGCAGAGATCTGGAAGCAGTTGTCGGGAGAACCCGTTGCCACCTGGTGATGATGCATCGAAATAATCCGGTTTTCAAGCCCTAAACCCTAGACCCTAAACCTTACATCCCAAACCCTAAACCCTAAACCTCTTTTTCTCTGAGGAGTTCTTGTTGCGCCTTGTCCTAAAATGACCTGAGCGAACTATGGGCTGGTTCTTAACTTGGGGGCCGCCCCAAAATGGGGATGTTTGCTTGCAGAGGGTTTAGGGTTTAGCGTTGAGGGTTTGCTGTAAGATGGCGCAGAAACTGTGAAGGTTGGGATGTAGACTCGCTTCGAGAGCCTCGTGAAAATGCCAGGAGCAGCCAAGCCCCAATAGTGGAGGGCCATCTAACACTTTTATCCCACTCCCACGCCATCCCAGGCGGCAAAACCACCCAAACCTATTTCTTGAGGGTCTAGGCCTAAACTCAAGTCAGCAGCCCACTTTCAATTCCAGTGGTGTCGTGTCAGGGGTTGTGGGTCTCAGGCGTTTCAGGGCCAGCGGGGGGGTTCTGCCGCCACGGGTCCGGGTCGGGGTACCCCCCCAAAAATGGCCAGCCTCGCCCAAAGCGTACTGACCACAGAAAGGAACCAGTGCTGGTTTTGAGGAGCCTGCTCCCTTGGGACCGGGCCAATCCTGCCCCACCTCTGGCTGTGGGAGGCAGGCTAGCGATCTGGGTCGACTATGCGCCTTTGAGGTCGAGGCGCTTAGGCGCTGCCCCCAATGTGGGGTGGGCTTCGTTGAGAGAAGGTGAGAGGGTTACCATGGGCTCAGAGGCCCTCAGAAGGGAATCCCCGCTGCAAAGGCAACCTACCTTGGGGTGCAGTTACCAATAGTCCCGCAACCTTATCTGCCCCTTTATCTACCCCTTAGGTACCCCTCATGTGCCCCTTATGCACTCCTTATGTGCTCCTTACGTACCCCTTATGTACCCTATAAACCTCGAGGTGGTGGGCAGCACGACCTACCGAACCGTTGGCGACATTGACGATCTCGTTGAGGTCTCGAGCAACCACGAAACTCTACGGACCCCTGAAAATCCTGGCGACCCCTTCCCCTGTAAATCCTCTAAACCCTACACAAACTCCCCAAAAAAGCCTAACCCTACATAAGCGACTTTTGGTTGGGATGCTCCTCCCCCTTCTACTAACAGCCCTTAATCGGGATTCTCGTACCCCATATTATGAATCCCTATCAAGGACTGCTAGGGTAATAGGGAACATCCCAGCCCTAAACCTGAACCCTACACCCTAAACCCTATGACCTTAAGCCCTCCCTCTGCCCCACATCTCGCCACAGACGATGGAGACGGCCATTCGGCTGTCCGAGATTCTGGTGCAGAGCATGGAGACTGGGCCCAATTGGAATACTTCATATTTTGGCCCTTATTGGGTTTAGGTTTAGGGTTCAGGGTTTAGGGTTTAGGGTTTAGGGTTTAGGGTTTAGGGTTTAGGGTTTAGGGTTTAGGGTTTAGGGTTTAGGGTTTAGGGTTTAGGGTTTAGGGTCAAACTCAAGAATATCTTTCAAGGGTCTACGGGGCCGACCGAGGAGAAGGCCGCGGAAGACTGGTGGAGGAGCAAGACCGGAGCGGAGACGAAGGCATGGCAACTCACTGCTGTTGTAAAGGGTTTAGGGTTTAGGGTTTAGGGTTTAGGGTTTAGGGTTTAGGGTTCAGGGTTTAGGGTTTAGGGTTCAGGGTTCAGGGTTGAGGGTTGAGAGTTGAGCTGCTGAGGGGTTTCGGAAGGGTTTAGGATGCTTTTGGGGGGCATGCTTCGGGGTTTTAAAAAGGGTTTCGGAATTTAGGGGGGTTGTATGGTTCAGGACGCATTCATCCTTAAGACCTGCTTAACCCGGTAAAACTTCCTAGCTTCTACACTTGGAGGTTCATGGTACTTATTAACCAGTGATAATTGTACTTAGAACTGTACCTATTACCATACTAAGGCACTTAAGGGGCTCATAAGTGGGTTATAAGTACAGTTACAACTGGCTAATAAGTACCCCTAAACCCTAAACCCTAAATCCTAAACCCTAAACCCTAAAGCCTAGTTGCTTCTCCCAGGCGGCTTGCTTCTCCATGAACTTCCGCCATACCCGAAAGGGGATGAAGGGCCTGCCCATTGCTCACGTGGATGCAACCAGTGTCGCGAGCTCAGCGCCAGTCAGAGGCGTTCGGGTTTCGGGTTTAGGGTTTAGGGCTTATGCGTTAGGGCTTATTTCAGTTCCCACTTAACCTGGTGCGGATACTTCTCGATGCCGCCAAGGTGCATGAGTGGTTTAAGCCGGATGGGGCATTCCCTGCCTCGGCACTGAAGGGATTCGAGAACAAGCTCGGTATGAATGTCTCAGAAGCCTTGCATCTTTGCCTGAGAGTTGGTCTACACCTCGTGCTGATGTGTTCGCAGAGCATAAGCCACTATTTGCTTAAAAACAGCCAAAATAGCATGTCATAGTCCCCTGATTACGGAAGAGTCTTTTTAATTTTTTGTGGGGCTTCTTAAGCAAACAGCATGTCAGCCCTAGATCCCAAACCCTGAAATCCCTAAACCCTAAAACTAAAACCCTAAGCCCAGGAAGCACACGGTCGTCACCTTCAACGAGTGGGTCAACGCCGGCGCGGATCCCATCGTCGAGCTCCCCTTGACAATCTTGGACACAGCCAGCCTGGATGACAAGGAACCTTGTGCCTCAACCTCTAAACCCGAAACCCTGAACCCTAAAACCATAAAACCCTGCAACCCCAAGCCCTGAGCCCAAAACACTAAACCTTGAACCCTGAACCCTAAACCCTGAACTCGCATTCTTTTCATCTAGCCTGGAATTCTCGCCCTAAACCTCAAACCTTAAACCCCGAACCCCGAAACCAACCCCCCCTTCTCTCCAACCCGCCGAAGGATCTGGAGACAGCGTCTAGGTCGGCCCATGGGATGTTTGATATTTTCCACTATTGGGTTTAAGAGGACTACATGTAGGAATATACTTTCAAGAGGATTGTATATAGGAATATTCTTGAGAGGATTGTATGTAGGAATATTCTTAAGAGGAGAACAGTATTTAGGAAGATTCCTGAAAGGATTATACTTGGGACCCTTCTTAAAAAAGTTGCAGTTCGGGCCATTTTTAAGAGGATTGTACCCCTAAACCGTAAACCCTAAACCCTAAACCCCAAACTTTTCAGAGGGCCTTCAGGGGCCATCCGAGGCTTGGATCCAAGTGAGCCTGGACTCCATGAGCCTCCGCTACTCCCCGAGCCAGAGGCTGGCGTTTGGGTTTAGGGTTTAGGGTTTAGGGTTTAGGGTTTAGGGTTTAGGGTTTAGGGTTTAGGGTTTAGGGTTTAGGGTTTAGGGTTTAGGGTTTAGGGTTTAGGGTTTAGAGATTAGGGTTTAGGGCTTAAGGTTTGGGGTTGAGGGTTGAGGGGTTGAGGGTTTAGGGGTCTGGTTTGCCTTTCTTTTTTTTCATTTCGGGGCTTCGGGGTTGATGGTTTAGGGGTCTTACTAGGAAATCCTGCAGGGTTTAGGGTGTAGGGTTGCGGGTTTGGGGTTGAGGGTTAGGGTTGAGGGTTTCGAAGCAAAGTAGCCTGTCAGCCTGATGGCTACTAGAATATGATGACACTATGAAACTATAATACTACAATACTGTAATACTATAGTACTATAATACCATCATGCTAGAGTACTGTAGTACTATAGTACTATAATACTATACTACTAGAATACTACAATACGGTAAAACCACATTGTCATACTGCATGGTAGAATGCCACTATACGGTAATGCCATACTGGGAACCCCGGAAACGGTCGAAACTCTCTAATGCCGTAAACCCTCTAACCCATAAACCCAATTCTCCAACCCTAAACCCTAAGCACTAAACCCTAAACCCTAAACCCTAAACCCCATAAACCCTCCAATCCCCTCTCTGTGGGCTTTGCTGGGGGGTTGGCACTCCAGGGATGATGCTCAGCAGGACTCTTTGCGTGCTTTGCTGGGAATCCAGGGCTCGGTGGAGGGCTCTAGGGTTTAGGGTTTAGGGTTGAGGGTTTAGGGTTTAGGGTTTAGGGTTCAGGGTTTAGGGAGACCGGGTGGCGTTGGGCGAGGAGTCCAGGAGGTGACTAGCATGGGCTGACGTAAAAATCTAGCAATCCCGAACCAAGGGGTGGGGAAAAACATCGAAGTCTACATGGCCTGGCCGGGTACAGCTTATCAACCCCCTGTGCGTCCAACAACCCCGAAACCTAAACCCGAAATCCTGAACCCTAAGCCCTGTAAACCCTGGGCCTCAAACCCTAAACCCTAAACCCTAAACCCCAAACCCTAAACCCTAAACCCTAAGCCCTCGACCCTAAACCCCCAATCCTGAAACCCAGTGAACCTTCAACCAAATATGAGCTCCGGCCCGAAGGTGGTACTACAAGGATCCTGGGCTGAATTCCGTGCCGTTTCACTGGTGCAGGATGTAGGGTTTAGGGTTTAGGGTTTAGGGTTTAGGGTTTAGGGTTTAGGGTTTAGGGTTTAACATGGCACTCATGGGTGCAACGCGATTGCGTTGCAGCATTCGCAGGTGTTCTTATTCGTGCGGTTGTTAGTGTGATTCTTGTCATGACCCTACACCCAAAACCCCTAAACCCTAAACCCTAAACCCTAAACCCTAAGCCCTAAACCCTAAACCCTCAAATTATCAGACAGACATGGAGCCGAGGAGCTGAAGCGAGGCGAAGGCTACAGGCGGCTTTAAGTGCGTTGAAGTGAGTAGAGAGGATGTAGAGTTTAGTGTTAGGCTTTGGGTTTAGGGTTTAGGGTTTAGGGTTTGGGGTTTAGGGTTCAGGGTTTAGGGTTTGGGGTTTAGGGTTTAGGGTTTAGGGATTAGGGCGTACTGTTTGGGGGGGTGTAGGCTGATCTAAGGATGCTGCTCGAAGCCGAAGCCTTAAACCCCCAACAAGTTTCAAGACTCCGACCCAACATGAGCCTTCTCTTACTGTTCTTATTTGGGTTTAGGGTTTAGGGTTTAGGGTTTAGGGTTTAGGGTTTAGGGTTTAGGGTTCAGGGTTCAGGGTTTACGGTGCAGGGATTCGGGCACTTATAAGTAGGGTTATAAGTAGGGTAACCATGGTTGTAACTTAATTCAGGGTACTCATGACTCTACTTATCAGTACCCCTAAACCCTGAATCCAATATTAAACCCCAAACCCCTACGTATCAGTACCCCAACTTCAAAGTAGCAGGGACTTAGAGAAAACGGGTGTTATTTCGTCCCTTGAAGAGTTATATGCGGGGATGCAAGTGCGGAATTCCCGAATTCCCCTAAACCCTAAACCCTAAACCCTAAACCCTAAACCCTAAACCCTAATCCCTAATTATCAAGAATTATTCTTTTCTGCTCCATCCTCCGAGCTCTCAAAGATTGCTTCCGGTCACCCCCCCCCCCCCCCCCCAAACACAGTTGGAACTTGGGATGTTTCCTCCCCCCTTATACAAACAGTCCATAATTGGGGTTATAGTACCCCATCCCCCCCCCCCCCCCCCATTATAATCTCTATAAAGGACTGTTAGTATAAGGGGGAACATCCCAAGTTGGAACTCCCAAACTGAGAGTGTCCTCTGTTTGCTGGGCTTTAGGGTTTTTAAAGCCCAATTTTAGGGTTTTGAGGGTGCGTTAGTGTTTTAGGGTTTGGTGCTTGTTGTCTTTGGGTTTTAAGGTGGCGGGGGGGGGGGTCTGCAAAGTTCACGCTGCTGCCGAATACACGTTGGCCTCATGCTCCGGATATACTCGCCATGCACCCATGGAGACACTTCAAGGTTTGTTTTGCACGACCGATTGAGCGATGGATTGGATGTTCCCCCTTGTACGAACAGTCATTAATAGGGATTATAGGAGGGGGGGTGCTCTAATCCCGATTGAGGACTGTTAGTATAAGGGGAACATCCCCAGCGATGGATATCATACAGCACGGACTGATGCTACCGCACCTAAGGCAACCTGCATGTTTGCTGTGAGCTGTCACTGGCGCCAGGTTCATCACAAGCCCTCACGAGGGACCCGGGGGAACTCGCGGCTCGTCCTGACAGAAGGCGGTGAGGGGATCGCCGCCTTTCTGTAGGCCATGTGAAGTATGGGAGTTTACGCAAATAGGGGACCCCCAACAAGGTACCCCCCAATTTCGGGAGGCCCTGTATGCTCTGCCTTGAGGGCATGCGTCCTCACGGCCTGTGATGCCTTCAAGTTTGAGCTGTCAGGCTTGGTAAATCTCGGGACTCGTCTGTCCTGCTGCCTTGGATATATCACATCTTAAGCCGTACGGTTTTGGAGCCAGAACCCTGAACCCTAAACCCCTGTGCGCGTTCTGGAGTTTTTTTTTTTTTTTTGGGGGGGGGGGGTTCAAGCACCTCACCTCACCCTAGACCCTCAACCCTAAACCCTGAACCCTGAACCCTTGAACCCTGAACCCTGAACCCTAGACCCTAGACCCTAGACCCTAGACCCTAGACCCTAGACCCTAGACCCTAGATCCTAGATCCTAAACCCTAAACCCTGAACCCTCACCCTTTCATCACAAACCATCGCCATGCCTTTGTCAACTTCAAGTCCTTGAGCTGTGAGTCTTGTAGACATAAAAGAACGGCTTATATTGGCTTTGAGCATGGAAACATTTAATAATGCAATAGTGTAAAAATGCGAAAGAGTATAGTATTCCAGGATAGCACCGACAAGAGCATAAACCATATAAGTATATAGTAGTCTAAGAAGTGGAAAGAAAGCTCTTCTATAACCCTAAATCCTATACCCTAAACCCTAAAGAATGTTGTGCTTTTAGCTGCGTGCAGAGAGCGCGGGCAAAGGCTATACCGGAACTCCACATTCTGCCTTTCGATTCATTCGGATGCCCGGTTGCAGAAAGCAGTTTGGAGCGAGGGTTTCGCGGTGTGTTGGGTTTCGGGTTCAGGGTTCAGCGTTTAGGGTTAGGGTGCAGGGTTTAGGGTTTAGGGTTCAGGGTTTCGGGTTGAGGGTGGAGGGTTTGGGGTTTGGGGTGTAGGATTCTCTCTCCAGGCTCTACATTGCGTCAGCCCCTGCAGACACACCACCTGCACGTTTTGCAATCCACTGTAAGAGTGATTCCGTTGACCAATTTTTCCGGTTAGCAATCTTTCGGAGATTTCGCAAGCCGCTGCAACAACTCTCAACCCTAAACCCAAGCCCTAAACCCTCCTAACCCCTAATCCCTAAACCCTAGACCCTGAACCCAGTACCCTCCTAAACCCCAAACCCTAAACCCTAAGCCCGGGACCCTAAACCCTAAGCCCGGGACCCTAAACCCTAAACCCGACCCTAAACCTTAGACTCTAGACCTTCCTAAACCCTAAACCCTCCCAAACCCTAAACCCTAAACCCCCCCCTAAACCCCAAACCCTAAACACTCCTAAACCCTAAACCCTCTTAAAGCCCAAGCCCTACACCCTCAAACCCTTTCAAAAAAGGAAGGAAGACTACCCTAAGCCCTAAACCCTCCTAGGCCCTAACCCCTGAACCCTCCTAAACCCCAAGCCCTAAGCCCTAAACCCTAAGCCCTAAACCCTAAACCCTAAATCCTAAACCCTAAACCCTAAACCCTAAACAAGGAAGGAGAACATGACCGCTGACCGACCACGTCAAAGCTACGAGTTCCGCTGCCTCGTCCTGGACCCGAACCTTGGAAGCCCAGCGGTGCCCTTGTCCCTTTGTGTAGGGTTTAGGGTTTAGGGTTTGGGGTTTGGGGTTTAGGGTTTAGGGTTTAGTGTTTAGGGTTTAGGGTTTAGGTTTTAGGGTTTAGGGTTTAGGTTTTAGGGTTTAGGGTTTAGGGTTGCTTTCTTTTTTGGTTCAAGGTTCCCTTATAAAGAGTCCTTAACCCTAAACCACAACAAGGGTGCTCTTATTTACAATATGGTGGCTGGGCTACCAAGGAACTGGACAAGTCCCAACTCCACCGTTTCCGGGCTTGCCGTGGAGCCGACCGACGACAAGGCCTGGTGCAGGGTTTCGTGTTTAGGGTTTAGGGTTTCGGGTTTGTCTAAACCCTCAACCCCCAAAGCCCTCAAACCTCAGTCTGGGGATACACGGCCATGCGACTTCTACGCCGCATTGACAGCATCAGCAGCCGCAGGAACAACAGAGTGCGAAGGGCGACACGCAGGCCCCTAAAACCATTTCGACTCATCCCCCTATGCATATCAAAATCGATGAAAAGTCCACACAAACATAGTCGATGAAAAGTTCACACCCCGGAAATCGTATGCAAATTAAGGGGGGGATGGCTCCCCGTCTACAATTATGCAAACAGTTCATACCTTGGGGAGCGAATGAACCCCAAAAGGGTCATATGGTTGATATACCTTAGTAGAATAGTATACGGTCTATCACCCCGGTTGTCGGGTTCATTTGGTCCACAGAGTACATACGTGCTCGTACATGTCACTTTCTCTATCTAATGATCTATCTACGTACGTAACATAGCACTCAGGCTTTGGACCCTATCGCCAGTAAGCCCATAGACAACCCTAAACCCCAAACCCTAAACCCTAAACCCGAAACCCTAAACCCTAAACCCTAAACCCCATTACGCGCTCAGGGTCGTAGAAAAGCTACTCGATGCCCTGCTTCAGGGTCCAAAGCAGGGCCCCTTGTTTTTTGCAGATGTTCTCGGGCACTCGGTGACCCTAAACCGCCCTAAACCGCCCTAAACCCTAAACCCTAAACCCTAAACCCTAAATCCTCAACCCTAAACCCTAAACCCTAAACCCTAACGTATTATTCCTGCGGAGTAGACACTGAGCTGGTTTGCAGGAGATTGTGAAGGAGGCCGCGTCCGCCATCATGGCTGGAATCATGGCCTCCCCACAGGCCCCGGTAGGGTTGAGGGTTTAGGGTTTAGGGTTTCGGGTTGAGCCCTACCACTTGGTAGCCCAGTGGTACCATACGGTTTAGAGTTTAGAGTTTAGGGTTTAGGGTTTAGGGTGTATGGTTTAGGGTTCAGGTTTTAGGGTTCAGAAGCATGGGGTGCGGCGCAAAGCACCTTCGAAACACCCCTGAGCGCCTTAAACCCTAAAAGGCTCTTGCGGCGTGTCGAGCACGCCGGGCTTCCTACTAATAGGGGTCGGAACAATTACTGGTAGTATTCCCTCATGGTCCCTTGATAATTCCACAAAAAACATCCCGCAAAGCCCTATTCTATTTTTGACGCTACGCGATCCGCCTCGGCCTGGCCCAGCGCAGCCCCCAGAGAATCTGCATCCTTCTCAAAGGCTGTGATCTAGAAGAAGCATCTTAGCCTTCATCCTGGTACTAAGCCCAAAGCCCTCGCGTTTACTTGCGTGTTTGTTTGCTTTACCCTAAACCCTAAACCCTAAACCCTAAACCCTAAACCCTAAACCCTAAACCCTAAACCCTAAACCCTAAACCCTAAACCCTAAACCATGTTTCTGGGTCGGCAGGTTGGCAGGGTAGCAGCCTAGCAGTTTGGGACTCGGGGCCGGGAGCTGGGGTCAGGCTTGAGACCCTGCGTGCACCCCAAAACACCCCATAATGCAGATACACGAGAAACCCTGGACCCTGAACCCTGAGCCTTAAACCCTAAACCCCAAACCCTAAACCCTAACCCCAAACCCTAAACCCTAAACCCCAAACCCTAAACCCTGAACTCTGTCTGCTGGAGCACGGAGTTCCCCGACCCCCCCCTCCCCTCCTCCCAACCTGTGCGAAGTGAGCCGGTTCGCCCTGCTGCCTGGCCCCTTTTTTGTTTTTTTAGGGTTTAGGGTTTAGGGTTTAGGGTTAAAGGGGTACCCTGTTTATTCCTAGGTTACTCCTGGGCCTAGCTACATCCGATGCTGCCCTTAAGGCCGTGATGGAAAGCTTGGTGGACACGGAAGATTTCAAGGCAGACGAGTGAAGCAGCTAGCCTGCCAACGGTGGAGCGGCTCGGACAGCGTCCAGGCTGAAGAGCAAAAAAGGCGCGAGCTGTGCGCCCTAAACCCTAAACCCTAAACCCTAAACCCTAAACTTTAAACCGTACATAAACCGTAAACCTTAGACCCTAAACCCTAGACCCTAAACCCTAAACCCTAAACCCTAAACCCTAAACCGTCCGCAACCCTGGTCTGCTTAGAAAGCGCTAGCGCGCACGGGATCGCAAGGTGGGTTTCATGGAGCAGGATGCAAGCATTGCTCCCGTATGAAAGGACAGAACAGGGTTTAGGGTTTAGGGTTTAGGGTTTAGGGTTTAAGGGTTTAGGGTTTAGGGTTTAGGGTTTAGGGTTTAGGGTTTAGGGTTTAGGGTTTAGGGTTTAGGGTTTAGGGTTTAGGGTTTAGGGAAACCCGAAACCCAAACCCGAAACCCTAAACCCTAAACCCTAAACCCTAAACCCTAAACCCTATTCTCGAAAATATGGTCCCTTTTGGTGAATGATATAAGATGTTGTCCCCTAATTGTCAGATATGTAGAAGTCAGTGAAAATGTTAGACAGTTTGAAAATCAAAGAATACAACAGATCATGTAGGAGATGCTTAGATAGTATGACCGCTACAAAACCGAAGGTTTGCTGGGAGGCTCAGCCTTGTACTAACAAAGTTGAAGTCTTCGTCAGGGTTCTTTAACTCACGTTTAGTACATCTTTTCATCTAAAACATTTATATAGTTATACGTGCGATGTAGATGATGTTGCTGTTAAACCAGTCAAGGGAATTAGTAGTCAAGAGACTTTAGAGAAGCTAGAACTCGATGAAGAAAAGGTTGATGAATTCCCGACTAAACCTAAACCAGTCAGTAAACCAAGTGATGAAGATTGTGATGTTGATAAGAATAAGAGAATGTTTATGTTAATACACTCAACAACCGAGATATTAAGTTTTTCAAGGAAAGAGACATTAGAACATTGTTCGATTAAATTCGATGGCCAAACGAGAGCACATTCAAAATTGCGCTTTCACAAAACCATATCTTGCAAAAAAACATTACAGAATTGAGAACTCACATATTCACGGCAGCAGCTTCTGGACATAACAAGCAAAGAGAAAATAACTAACACCAATAATGACCTGAACCTTCTATAGAATGACATTTTGGACGTCTTAACTGCTGTGCCGTACATCTAGAAGCAATTGTAAAACTTATGGTTTATGTATAAGGAACGGAAAAAGGTTTTCTGAAGTTCTGGATGCGAGGAGCATAGGCATTGTGAAGTACCATGCAATAATGCTTATTTTTCATAAAAATGATTCTTCTATGTCATGGAATTCCAAGGACGTAGGCCTTGGGGGGTTGTTTCCATGAGGCCCGCTGACCCCAGACCTCATGGTGAGAACAAGGTGGAAAAGGGATGATGCCTTACTATGGTAGGGGATGATGATGACCGAAGACTTGAAAAACTGTATTCAACGTAGTAATGGCTATCCATCTGATATGTTCCGTGCCAGGATTCATATTTGTGTTGGTTGCCGAGATCAAAGTAAGATCAATAGAGAGACGAAACGAAGAAGCAATGAAAGCTGACAAAGTTAAAGGATACAGGCAACAAATGTTGAAGAGAGCAAGGACGAGTTTTAGGAACAGAGAAAGCATTCTAGGCAAAGCGTTATTCGATCATGACATGAAGAGGTGTAAGAGAGCAACAAGAAAAGTCCAAAACACACCAATACTTCTTACAGAAAAGTTGGAACAGTGAAAAGCTGGAACGACCAGATAAAAGGGAAATGCATTATGGTATGGAATGCTTCTGTTGCTTGATATAATGACTGGCAGAAGCATGTATCTAGCGAAGAACATAACACAGCAAGGTACGATGGTTTAAGTTCTGTGGTATGTAACATCTGCAACCTGACGCATGTAGAAGTGTGTTTTGTGGATCTATTTGCTTTGGTGGGAGGAAGGCGAGCAGAGGTGGTCTGCTAGCTAAACAGGAACCAAAAGTTACAGAACTGCCCGGAAGTCTGTTAAGCTGGCTGGTTCTTAGTCGCGAATGAGGGAATTAGGGCCCTATATAATCCCTTACAGGGCATATATATATATATATGTACACATATATATATATATATAGGGCCCTCAATCCCTCATTTCCTACAAAGGACCAGGGGGTTCAGAACCCAGGCAGTTTCTGGACTTCCTCCCACGTCCGAACGCCTCCGCCAGGAACACATCTCTGATATGCCCTTGCGGTTGGGGGCCCAGTTGTGGGCAGTCCCTAAACCCCAAAACCCCAAAAACCCCGAAACCCAACCCCCCAAACCCTCAACCACAGAGTCCTAAACCCCGAACCCTACATCCGAACCCGTCTAAACCTTCGACCCCTAGCCCCAAAATCCTAAACCCTGAATCCTGTAACCTGGTGGAAGCCTGCAGTCGGCTGAGTAGTTGCCAGTTACAGGGCCCTTGGTACAGGGTGCCCGCATTGTTCCCATTACTGGGTTTATGGGGTTTAGGGTTAAGGATTTAGGGCAATTGGAGTTTCATGGACACTTATAAGTAAGGTTATGAGTCGGGTAGCTATGCTTTGGGAACTTTACCTTCCTGCAAGTACCCATGAACCTCCAAGAGCAGGCGAAAGAGGTTTAGGGTTTAGGGTTAGGGTTTAGGGTTTTGGGTTTTGGGTTTAGGGTTCAGGGTTTAGGGTTTAGGGTTTAGGGTTTAGGGTTTAGGGTTTAGGGTTTAGGGTTTAGGGTTTTACAGCCCAACTGAGGCCATGCTGCACCGAAGCCCAAGCCATTCAAGGCCGCAGCGCCGGCTTTGGGTTCTTTTGAAGCCCAGGGGTACCCTGCTCCTTGTTTTTTTTTTGGTCTGGGTTGCCTTGTGAAGTAACCACCCCCCCCCCCCCCCAAAAACAAAAAAAAAAAAAAAGTGCCCTTATCGTCGTAGGGCTGCCGGGCTAGCAAGGGGGTGCTGTAGCTTGCGCTGCTCACGAAAAGGAGGTTTCAGAGGCATGTGCTGGGAATATTGTCTGACTGGGGTGTGCTGTTGGATGATTTTTGGTTTCCCTTCTTTTCTTCTCAGGGAACCGATTCGATAATAATAGTTTCAAAGGGTGTGTTCCTTCCTAAGGCCCCCAGAACCTGCACAAACGAATTTGCACGCGCGTTGTGGGTTTAGTCCTCGAACTGTTGGTTGCTTGCTCCATTCCCTCTTCTAGCATTGTCGCTCTGGCCCATCAGGGTGCTTGTCAGTAACCCTAAACCCTAAACCCTAAACCCTAAACCTTAAACCTTACACCCGAAACCCTAAAGCTTCAACAGCAGACCTCTCTACACCCTGAACCCCGAAACCCAAACCATAAGCGTCGGCCCGTAACCTTAGGTTCAGGGTTTAGGGTTTTAGGGTTTAGGGTTTAGGGTTCAGGGTTTAGGGTTTTAGGGTTTAGGGTTTTAGTACCTTAAGCTCCAGGCGCGACCGGGCGACGACCCGCGAGCCTCTGCAGGTGGTCGCCGCTGGGCTTCGATGGCCAGGGGTTTCGGGCTTGAGGGTATACTTGGAGGTTCATGGGTACTTATGTGTACGGGTTTAGGGTTTAGGGTCTAGGGTTTAGGGTTTAGGGTTTAAGGTTTAGGGTTTTGCGGTACTGATAATGGGTATTAAGCACCGTAAGTAAGGTTATAACCAAAGTTGCCCTACTTGTATAGCTCTACTTCTACGTACCCATGCACCTCTTAGTGGGGTTCTATAAGCCCCAAGGCCCGAATTTCCTGTACACGGACCTGCCGCAGTCGCATCGCAGTTGGCGGTTTACGAAACTAGGGGGTACCTTATTGGGGTCATTGGAATAAGGGAATGTGTGTGTGTGTGTGTGTGTGCGTGTGTGCGCGCGTGTGTGACAAAACACCCCATCCCAGGCCCGGAGCCGCCAAATTCACCCTCTGCACTTCAAAAGCTCCAAGCCCCAAATCAACTTTGAGTTTTTGAGCCCAAAGCCCTAGGCTACCATATTTCCTAAATGAAGCCTTTAAACCTTAAACCCTAAACCCTATATCCTAAACCTACCCTGTGCCCAAAATCCCTCAGCCCTAAGAGCCCTAGAGCTCCCCCTAAGCCCAAAGCTCTAAGCCCACAACCCCGCACTCTCCTACTAGGTAGGCCCTTGGCATATTTTATGCTTTCCCTGCTTGGGTTCAGGAGGATTATTTTTAGGGTTTGGGGTTTAGGTTTCGGGGTTTGGGGTTTAGGGTTTAGGGTTTAGGGTTTAGGGTTTGGGGTTTAGGGTTTAGGATTTAGGGTTTGGGGCCCAGGTGCGCTTGCGACCTCTCTCCGGACCGGCAGCGGAGTCAGGCACCATCGAGGGGTAGGGTTTTGGGTTTAGGGTTTGGGGTTTAGGGTTTAGAGTTTAGGTTCTAGGGTTTAGGGTTTAGGGTTCAAGGTTTCAGGGCTTAGGTTGAGTTCTGAGCACTGGGCCCACTGATTTTCTCTAACCCCTTAAACCTCAAAGTGCCAAACCCCACAGCCCAATAGCCCTGAAAAGGGTGTACCGCGAACCCTAAACCCTAAACCCTAAACCCTAAACCCTAAACCCTAAACCCTAAACCCTAAACCCTAAACCCTAAACTCTACAATTTTAGGGGTTTGGGGGGCTTACGGGTGAGGGATGGGTGCCTCCACTGGGTTTTGGAGCATACAGTACACGTTAATCCTTGGTTCCAATAATCGCTACTTATACCTAAAAAGTGTATAGTTTTTTGCTAGGGTCTACTCCAAAGTAGGGTCCATGGTCCCTAAATACTTACATGGGTTTGGGGTTTAGGGTGTTGGGGCTTTAGGGTTTGGCGTTTTGGGGTTTAAGGTTTAGGGTTGAGGGCGTCGGGCTCACTGTTCTTGGTGCGTGCACTTTTTCTTCCCGAGTAGTCGTGGTGAGTGCATGAGTTGGTGGGGATACGAGTCGCCAAAACACAGCAACGCTTCATAGACCAGTCCTC